TTAATTTATTAATTTTGATATTTTATTTTTTTATATATTATTATATTTGAATATTTATTATATTGTTTTATTATTATAATATATGACTAATTTAATTTTTTGTATTATTTAAATTTTAGTTTTTATAATATTTTGAATTTAATAAAAGAAAAACTCTATTTTTAATATAAAATTAAATAAATAATTTAATTTTTATAAAATATTTTATTAATTTATAAATATATAAATAATTAATTATTATATTATATTTTATATTTACAAATTTTAAATATTATAATATTATAATTTTAAATAATAATAAATAATTAGATAGTTATAATAATTATTATTATTAAAAAAATAAAATTTTAATTAATTAAATTTTTTGATCAATTTAATTTAATTCAAGCTTAAATTAAATTTAAAATTTAATTCAAAGTTTTATATTTAATATATTTAATTCAAAGTCTAATTCGAGTTAATTTGAATTTTAATCTAATTTAAATCTAATTAAATATTTGATTAAGCTCAAATAAATATTTAAAATAGTTTAAATAAAGTTATAAATTATAATTAGAACTATAAATTATATAAACTAATTAATATAAATAATAAATATTCAGAGAGTTATATAAATTTAGAAATTATTTTTAATTATTATAATTTTTAATTATTTTTAGTTATATTATAGTATTAATAAAATTATAAATTATAATTCTAAATAAAGTTATAGCTTAAAATAATAGTTACAAATTAGTATAAAATAATTAATATTAATAATAAATATTCAAAATTATATTTTATTTATAATAAAGTTCAATAAATATAAAATAAAAATAATTTGATTGTTTTTAAGTATTAATAAAAAATTTGTAGCTAAAATTTAAAGTTATAAATTGATATATATATATATATATATATTAATCTCAAATCTAACTTGAATTTGACTTAAACTCATAAAATAGTTTAGTTCAAGTTTAGTTTGAACTTTGAATTTTTTTGAACTCAAATCAAAGTTCAATTTGAATCTGATTTTAATTTCAAATTCAGATAAAAATCCAGTTGAGTTCAGTTTGTAAAAATATTTCTCATTGAATTATACTAGTTCAAATCCAAATATAATTTAGAACACAACTAAAATTGAAACAGAATTAAAAAATAGCAATCCGAACTGGAAATAAAATATCAGTTTCAGTTCAGATCTCAGATTGATCTGAACCGGTGGGAGCTTTAAATATATCAATAGTTTTTTATAATTACCAAAAATTTCTTGATAACTTGAAAGAAAATTAATTACACTGATAAAATTAATTAATGTGTTGTCACAACATGAAAAGATAGCAATAAAAAAAGTTCAATGTAAATGTAATTTTGTCTTGATACACTTATTTTACAAAATATCAAACTTTAATATAAAAGTTTCATAGGCATAATTTCAATTAATATACTTTGACATATTTATTAATATAGTATGTGATTAAAATTATCTAAATAAATTAAATTCAGTAAAATATTCACTCTTGCAATATATTAAAGAATTTTTATTCAATAAAAATCGATGATTGCGATTTAAATTTTTGATATCTCGTCTATCATGTGACTATGTCGAAAGATCATGTAACTGCGCCCTCGATTATTGGTAACGCTGGAACTTTTATGAAAACTTCCCTTCTTCCAATGTATTATTTTCAAATTTCCCAATTAAAGCCACTACGTGATTAGTGAGAAATTTCGTTATATAGGATTCGGATTAGGTTTAGAGTTATCTGACAGAGATATGATGATATGTAAAAATTTGCTCCGAGCATTTTTCTTTAGAGGTTACATATAGTACAGCAAAGCAGGAATCCGATAAGGCGAGAGAATATGACGACGTATTTTAATGAAGTTCTTTGTTACCATCGCTATGATCTCTTATTGGCTGATATAGACTATCGCCATTTTGTCAGCCTTCAGAAAAAATATTTTTTTAAGTTATTTTATATAACTAGTTTTGAGTAATGCCTAAAATATCAGATTTATAGATTTTGAGCATGAAAAAATTGTTAGTCTATGAAAGGCAAAAATAAATGATCCTCCTAAATCTACAGTTGGTGATATAATAAAAAACACACCATTAAATAGAGCAGGTTTCACTAATTCTAATCATATGGTGCATAACATCTAAAGTCATCAAACGTTGTATTTTATAAAATATATAAACTTCTTTACTAAGTAATCCATGAATATGATAGAATAGGTCCTTTCTGAGCATATTTACGGATTAAATTTTGTATTTATTTCTTAGTAAAATAGTTTATCTATTTATAAATACAAACGCACATCAGAAATCTGTGCCAGGTAATATTAATTAACATTAAAGGTTGGTTTTAGATTAGGGTTAGGGTTAGAGTTAGGGCTGAGATATAGGTTATATATAAATTGCCTCCCTGACGTTTTTAATTAGTACTCCAAGCTAGATTTAGGCACCTGTTTCTCTTGTGTTGGATTTGTTTTGCCGGTTTGATCATCGTTATCGTTATTGGTTGCTGATAAAAATATTGCGCATTCTTATTGCTACTGGTCTATGATCGACAAACATTCTGATGTGCATTGATGTTATGCACCATACGTATAAATTTTATATGCATTTTTCTACCAAACAAAAAGTTATAGAGCCAAAAGACCAATGCCAACACTGATATAAAGTGTTGCATAAAGTATTCTCTCGTTTTGTAAATTTAAACATTTATTTATTCCAATTTTTTCAAATGAATAATCAATATTCACGGTGCAATTTCTTCAAATTAGTAAACTGTGATTTAAATTTTCTACTAAGGAGGTACTTTATGTAGTGCTTTACAGTAAAATTGTGTTCGCGCATTTCACTTTGTATCGAATAAATAAAAGTGTCAAAAGAAAGCTAAAATTTTCGAACATCTGCTTGTAAAGTTTTGTTTAAAAAACATGATTTTTTTCAAAGATGATGCAAGAATCATATTTTGAAGTTATATAGTGACTTTTTCAAAATCGAAACACCCTTGTCGCCCATATGAAATCCAAAATTTTGGGGATTTAGATATTAGTATCGTTTGTGATTCAATTTCAAAGGGTTTAAAATGTATTTATTCAAAATGGGTAAGATCATATCCACTAAGGCTTTACCTTAAGAATAGTATTTATTAAATATCTACAACCACACGACTAGTGCAATAAAAATCGAGTAACCAACATTCGAGTGCATACAGGGACGATGATATACAGTCGACTCTCTATAACGAACCTCTTTATAACGAACTCTGGATATAACGAACCTTAAATTTTTAAATTTATATTAGTTCGTTATAGAAAGAGTAGTGGACTCTATAGAAAACATAGTGATTTTATATAATGAACTTTTTTTTACTAACAGAACCATCAGTTCGTTATAGAGAGAGTTGACTGAACACACCCCTACAATATATTACCAGAAATTTCAAAAATGAATTTGTCACTTTGGGACCCGATATTTCGACATCAAGTGATCCCATTCGAACAAAAATATTACCATTGGATTTGTCTCGACTATACGAATCTAATGGTGATATTTTTGTTCGAATGTGACCTGATTTCGTGAAGTGATAATCATAATCAACAGCGCGTTGCTATACAAATTACACTGACCTAAAATAAATCACCGTTATTAGCAAAATTTTCTATTTTAAAAAGTATCTAGTTTTTTTTTACTAAATTTTACTTAACAAGGATATTTAAAAAATATATGAATAGAAAGAGAAAGTTATAGAATAATATTCGTCTAAAAAAATATTAAATTTATGTGATCCTTAGCTTTAATAACAGCTGCAACTCGTCGCGGCATACTGGAAATTAAATTGCGCACAACATCCAGAGGCACTTTTTGCCATTCTTCCTTCAATGCATCAATTAATCCTTTGTATAAGAATGATTATTCATCCAAGGAACCAACCATTTGGAAAGAATATTAATATAACATCAGAATCGAGATTGTTATTAACTTCTACCAAAGGTCTAACACCATTCCCATCCAATACATCACCAAATTTTATTGTTAGATCCACACAACTTTCTAAGGTTTTTTCAAAGGATTTTCGCCATACTCTTGTACGCCCTTCTGAATGGATAAGGGAAAATCACGACTTATCTGACTACACAATTTGGTGTCAAGTTTTTCTTTTCTTTGCACCATTGTAAACGCTTTTTTTTATGCTGAGCAGTCAAAGAGGTTTATGACTTGCATAGTAAGATTCAAATGATAGTAATTACGAGTGGTATTAAAGTGAATTGAGTTATTAATGTATGCATTTAGTTGATTGGTAATTTTAATGCTTTGCGAATGTAGAGAACCTAAATCGATTAATTGTATCACGTACTGTTTGCTTTGGAATAGTGAGGGTAGAGGCAATAGCTGAAGCATTGCTCCCCATATGACACGCGCCAATTCTTTATAATTCTTTTCGTGGTAAGGACATTATGAATAGAAAGTAGTGAATAGAGAGTGTTTATATACAAATAAAAGATCGAAACGACAATGTAAAAGAGAAATAAAAACAAAGTAAAACATTACTCGATAAAGAATAATGTATATGCACGATGATTTAAGGTCAGTGTACAAGATACAATGTACCATTAAACTTTTTGACAAATTTTGAACGGTCACTATCTACGCAATAAAATATTATAGAAAGAAAAGCTTATTTCAACACTACAGCTAGAGATCGGAAGCCAAATATAATCCATACAATATTGGAAAGAATCGGTAATTGTATACTTAGATTTGATCAATATCCGTTTAATTCCACCTCTTGCTTACTGAAAATGCCACATTTGAATTTTTTTAGGTGAACATAAAATCACGTCACGTGTAATAAAAGGGCTATTAATCGGATTGAAATTACTAATCAATTTTGAGATCGAGCTTGAATTGAGAATCAATTCTGCCCTTACAGTGTGCTGGCAAGTGCTTTCAATTTCTCTTCTTTGAAACGTAGGCTAGTAAACAATTTTAGGATCATGTGATCACTTCAAGCATAGTATTTGCAAGTTGCCTTGTGATATTTGTTTCCATTTTTACGAATCGCATCGTAATCAGCGAAACAACTACGTATAATGAAAAATTCATATTAAGAAATAAACTTATTCCAAATTTCTCAAGAGTAAATACTTACAGCCAGCAAAATTCATATCCACATCTAGGCGCGCGACACGTCATATGATCACACCCCTCATTCTTCTCAATATTAGCATTACATTTAGGACACTTTTTTGTCATAGAATCAATATAAACTGTTGACATTTCTTCCATTCGTCTATTTTTTTCTTTCAGCAGATCCTCTCGTCTCTTCTGCGAATCTTCTAATGTTTGTCTTCGTTGTCGTATTTGTTTTAGCGTTTTATTCGAAGATTGTGAAGCTGCAGGTTCTCGCACAATGTCTTGCACATTATCGTTATTAAATGTTTCGGTTATGTTGGTGCATTGTGAACAGCTTAGTGAGCTATCTGGAATTGGAAGTGAATGCATAACACATGTTTTTTTCGAACAGGATTGGCACGTCATTATCGGTGCAGCGTCTTTATAAGAGTTAATAAATATATGTAATAATTAGAATTTAAGCTCTCAACCAAAAAAATAAAATCACCATATTACATACGTCCTCCATAATGAATTTGACCAGAATCACAATTGGGATTCAAGCACCAGTAAAAATCATCTATTTGCGAAAGTACAGATACAAGTGATAATTTCTGATATCTTTTCAAATTATATAAATTAATATTATTATCTCTTATATTTATTAAATCAGTTTTCGTTTGAAAAAAGCTCACCTTTCAAAGATCGTTTCACTGGACAATGTTTTGATATAATCTTCAGTCATCACACTTCTGCATTCCTCATCTGGACATCTAATTTCAATGTTTCCTTTATCTAGCAACTCGTGTTCGATATGTCTCGCAATACACTCTTGACAAATATTATTCTCATGTTGACACTTAATCGAGATTTGAATTAATTGTGTACTATCAAAAGTCTCTATACATACGACGCACGCTTTTTTTTGTGGGGATAAAGCCAAAAATCTGTGTAGATTCTGATTGCTGCCATTAGTATTTGTAGAATTATTATTGATAATAGGACTTGGTGGAAAATATCCAAGAAAAATACTGTTATCCTCTGGAGCTTTATTAGTATTGTTTATATCAAATTTTGAGTTTTTATTCTCTCCAGTTTTATCATTGCTTTTCGAATTATTATTGTTGATAAGTGGATTAAATAGATATTTATCATCCTCTTTTTTCTTGCTATTACCTATTACAGTGTTATTTTTATTGATAACCAGAGGTAGTGGTGGATGTGGTGGTGATGATGGTAGAGGGTTTTGTGGTCGGGGAGGAGCTTTATAGTCTGGATTGTTTGCGCGAGTAAAATCAGTGAAGGGATCGTCTATAAACACTCGGCGTCTTTGTGGGGTGGAAAATTCTCTTGATTGATTTGCGACAGGCGTAAACGTTGCAGGTTGAGGTTGAGCGGGAACTTGGGAAAAAAAAACGTTCACTTTCTTCTTACTATTGCTTGTCACAGTATTATTGCTATTAATAACCCTAGGTAGCGATCGAGGTTTTTGTAACTGGGGAGGAGCAGTTTGGCGTCTTTGTAGAGTAGATGATCCTCTTGATTGGTTTACGACAATTGTAGGGGTTGCAGGTTGTGATTGAGCAGAAACTTGGTGAGAAAACACGTTCTCTTTTTTCTTTCTATTGTCTATTACAGTAGTATTGTTTTTGATAATTGGAGACGGTGATGGATGTGGAGGTAGGGGTGGCAGAGATTTTTGTAGTCGGGGAGGAGCTTTATAGTCTGGATTGTTTACGCGAATAAAGTTAGTCAAGAGATGTTTTATAAAAGTTCGACGTCTTTGTGGGGTGGAAGATTCTCCTGATTGATTTGCGACAGGCGTAAATGTTGCAGGTTGAGATTGAGCGGGAACTAACATGCTCTTTTTCTTCGTACTATTGCCTATTGCAGTATCATTGTGATTGATAATCGGCGGTGGTGGACAAAACATGTGAGGATATTCATCCAAGCTCTCTTTCTTCTTACTATCGCCTGTTATAATATTATTGTTCTTGATAATCGGTGGTGGTGGAAATAGCATGCGAGGATATTCATTTAAGCTCTCTTTCTTCTTACTATTGCTTGTTATAGTATTATGATTGATAATCGGTGGTGGTGAAAAAAACACGCGGGAATATTCATCTAAATTCTCTTTCTTCTCATTATTGGCTGTTACAGTATTATTGTTATTAATAAGTGGTGGTGGTGGTGGTGGAAATAGCATGTAAGGATACTCATCTAAGCTCTCTTTCTTCCCATTATTGCCTGTTATAGTATTATTATCATTGATAAGCGGTGGTGGTGGGAATGGTGATGGAAATAGCATGTGGGAATATTCATCTAAGCTCTCTTTCTTCTTACTATCGCTTGTTATAGTATTATTGTGATTGATAAGTGGTGGTGGTGGAAAAAGCATGCGAGAATATTCATCATTCTTCTCATTATTGGCTTTTACAGTATTGCTGTTATTGATAAGTGGTGATGGGAATGGTGGTGTAAAATACATCCGAGAATATTCGTCTGAGCTCTCTTTCTTCTTATTATTTCCTGTTATAGTATTGTTGTCATTGATAAGCGATGGTGGTGGGAAGGGTGGTGGTGGAAATAGCATGTGAAAATATTCATCAAAGCTCTCTTTCTTCTTACTATTGTCTGTTATAGTATTATTGTGATTGATAAGTGGTTGTGGTGGGAATGGTGGTGGTGGAAAATACATCCGAGGATATTCATCTGAGCTCTCTTTCTTCTTACTATTTCCTGTTACATTATTGTGATTGATAATCGGTGGTGGTGTAAAAAACATGCGAGAATATTCATCTAAAGTCTCTTTCTTCTCATTATTGGCTGTTACAGTATTATTATTATTATTATTGATAAGTGGTGGTGGTGGGAATGGTGGTGGAAAATACATCCGAGGATATTCATCTGAGCTCTCTTTCTTACTATTTCCTGTTACATTATTATTGTTATTGCTAACAGGAGATGGTGGAAAAAACATGTGAGCGTATGTATTTTTTGAAGAGCAATAAATTTATCAAAACTCCGAAATCAGATCTAAAGAGAGAAAATGATATCGATATAAACAAATATATCTTTTTTCTATAACTCCAAATACATGTACATGTAATGAGTATCCTCGATGAATTACTGTGGGTATACGTACTTTGTACGTAATACGAGATAACGATAACGATAACTTGTTTAACCCGAATTTTCTAGTTGTACAGTTTGTGTCACATGAAAAATACCCTTAGACGTACAGTGACAAAATAACCAAGTACGTACATATGCATTTTAAAAATAATCTGGCAACATGTTATTTTAGCCATTTTGTGAAATTAAGTAATTTATTAAGTGATTTAAATCAAAATTTTCAATTAACGTTAGTAATGAATACATGTAAATGTACAGTATTTGCATAATCCCACATTTTTTGATGCTAGATACCGATATTTAGAAATTTTGTTCATGTATGCGATATGACGCATACGTGACACATCAATGCAGTAGACTGATGTTGGGCATATGACAATTTGACATGCCAATTGGACAATGTCTAATTGGTCCAATAGATTTGAACAATTGGACATTATCGATTGTTACCCCTCCACAACACATGAGCATCCAGAAAATTTATGTTAATGCTAACATTAAAGTTTGGTTTAAAGGTTAGATTAGTGTTGAAATTATATGTAAAATTGCTTTCCTAACGTTTTTTATTAGTGCTATGGTGCAAACGGTCTAAAGACATCCAAGAGATCCAATACTTTAAACTGTAAAGGATTTGCATCCAAACACTTAAACCACAAAAAAATACGTTGCCAAATAACCTTTGATGAGAACTATAATATAACGTATTTTTCTTGTAATTCAAGTGTTTGGATGAAAATCCTTTACAGTTTAAATTATTGGATATATTGAATGTCTTTAGACCGTTTGCACCATACCGATACAAGCCATTTCTTTGCCAGGCTGATCAAAAATTTACGCATCCTTATTGGTTGCCGATCAGTTGCACAGGGAGGATTTTTCTTGGTCAATTTCCGACCAATCAAATCACAAGATTAATTTATCGTTTCATAATTCGATTTCCAGAGATTTCTATAAAATTTTTGCAAGAAAATGATTAATAAAAATAAGAAACCCGTTCCGGGAATCGTGGTTCAAAGTCTGAGGGTTGCTTATTTACAAGACTGTCGGGGAGACAATATTACGTATTCTTATTGGTTTCCATCAAACAGAGGGGTTTCTTATCTTTCCAAATGAGGGGGTTTCTGTATTTTCGGACATATATGGTACAAATAGCTTTACGATATGTTTTATCGGCTTTTCAAAATAATCTGTACAAACAGCTCTTAGCGTGTATATTTATAATCAGAATATATAAAGTTGTTTGAAGATTTAAGATAAAACAGACACAATAACTATAATCTGACAACGAACACGAAAATATGCACATATTTGAAAACTGAGATGATTATACATGCTAATGACTTGTGAGTTTATTTTTCGATGCGATTTGGAATCCAATTTATTATAGGGCTGTCACTTTTATAATCCAAAATTTAGATTTTTTATTGAACTTAAGTCTAATCGACCAAACGGCACAGTTTTAAATAACATTTGAAATTATACAAATTTACCACCTAGATTATATAATGGGCTCTCTTGCGTTTTAAGAAAATATTGTTGTTATCCAATAAAAGAACCTTTAACAAATATACGTATTATCGTTATGCATGCAATATTAATCGATTCTTAAAATAATATTATGATTATGCGAATAATGTTGTTTAAAAATATTTCATTAGCAAGTTTACCCTATTGGGTTTTTCTTAGCATAATGGTCTAAATCCTTTATATTTTATCAACATTATTTATTCTAATTATTTAATATTATTATAAAGTTGTTCACATTGAGAGCTTAAATAAATTTTGAGCCACAGCTCTAATTGTTTTATGAAATTGAAAAGCTGATGGCTCAAATAGTTCAACTAAGCCAGCTGGACCAGCCATTTGGCATCCCTATTCGGGACTAAAATCGAAGAAATCGATTGGTTCTTCAAACTCGATTAATAGTGCAATGAAATTATCAAAAATTTTCGATTTTTAGTAATAAAATAGAATTAAAACCTCCGAGTACTTGAAACTATTAATCGGATCGAAATTATTGAGTTGAGAATCGATTCCTACCCTGTTCGTGATAACGAGGGTCGAGTGTATTACTATTTTTAACTTCAATTTAATTCTAACATCAAGCCATTATTATTAATCCGATAAAATAGAAAGGTGATAAACTGAATTTCTGCCACTTACATAGGTCTTGAATTCGCCGCAGTTTCTTTGAAACGTAGGATAGTAAACAAATTTTAGGATCCTGTGATTACTTCAAGCATAATGTTGGCAAGTTGGCATATGATATTTATTCCCATCTTTACGAATAGCATTATAATCAGCGAGACAACTAGAATAATGAAAACATTCATATTAAGAAATAAACTTTATACAAATTTCTCAAAAGTAAATAAAATACTTACAGCCAACAAAATTCATATCCACAGCGACACGTCATATGATCACATCCCTCATTCTTTTCAATATTAGCATTACATTTAGGACATTTTTTTGTCATAGAATCAATATATGTGTTTGATTTTTCTTCCATTCGTCTATTGTTTTCTTTCTGCAGATCTTTTCGTCTCTTTTGCAAATTTTCTAATGTTTGTTTTATCGTTTTATTCGAAGATTGTGGAATGAAGCGTTGTGGGGGTCTAAGTTCTTGCGGAATGTTTTGCTCATTATCAAATGTTTCGGTTATATTAGCGTTAGCGTTTGTGCATTGTGGACAGTTTATTGAGCCATCTGGGATTGGAAGTGAATGGATAACACATGTTTTTTTCGAGCAGGATTGACACGTCATTATTGGTGCTGAGTCTTTTTATAACGATAATAATAATTAGAATTTTTCATTAGATTAATTCTCAATTAATATTATTATATTACATACGTCCTCCATAATGAATTTGACCAGAACCACAATTGGAATTTAAGCACCAGTAAAAATCGTCGATTTGTGAAAGTGCAGACATAAGTTCCAATTTCTGATATCTTTTCAAATTATATAAGTTTGTAAATTAATATCTATCTCTTTAGTTTATTAAATCAGTTTTCGTTTGAAAAAAGCTCACCTTTCAAAGACCGTTTTACTGGACAATTTTTTGACATAATCTTCAGTCATCACACTTCTGCAATTCTCATTTAGACATCTAATTTCAATGTTTCCTTTAGCTTGCAACTCGTGTTCGATATGTCTCGCAACACACTCTTGACAAATATTGTTCTCATGCTGACAATTGATCGAAATTTGAATTAATTTTGTCATATTATAAGTCTCTGTACATATGATGCATTCTTTCTTTTGTAAAGAAAAAGTTAAAAATTTGGATAGGTTCCGATTGCTGCTATTAGGTTTTGTAGAATTATTATTGATAATAGGACTTGGTAGAAAACCTCTAAAAGAAAATGGTAATTTGTTACCCTTTAGATTTTTATTAAAATTGTTAATATTAAATTTTGATTTTTTATTCTCTTCAGTTTTATGATTGCTTTTCGCATTATTACTCTTAATAAGTGGGAAAAAAATGCCTTTTTTCTTTTTACTATCGTCTGTGACAGTATTATTATTATATCGATATGAATACGTTGGGATATGGTCGTCGTACGTTGGTGATGGCGGTGGATATGGGATATGGTTGTCGTATGGTGGATACGTTGGTGATGGCGGTGAATATTGTGATAGCGGTGGATGTAGATAAGTTGGTGATGGCGGTGAATATGATGAATACGTTGGTGATGGCGGTGGATATGGTGTATACGGTTGGATATGGTTGTCGTATGTTGAATACGTTGGTGATGGCGGTGAATATGGGAATTGTTCGTATGTTGAATACGTTGGTGATGGCGGTGAATATGGGAATTGTTCGTATGTTGAATACGTTGGTGATGGCGGTGAATATGGGAATTGTTCGTATGTTGAATATGATGGATTTGAATATGATGAATTTGAATATGATGGATTTAAATATGATGAATTTGAATATGGTGTATTTGAATATGATGAATTTGAATATGGCGAATTTGAATATGCTGTTGAAGTTGGATATGGTGGTTGTCGTGATGGTGGATATTTTGGATATGGTGAATTTGAATATGATGAATTTGAATATGGTGAATTTGAATATGGTGTATTTGAATATGATGAATTTGAATATGCTGGTGAAGTTGGATATGGTGGTTGTCGTGGTAGTGTTGAATGTGTTGGATATTTTGGATATGGTGAATTTGAATATGAATCTGGATATGGTGTATTTGAAGATGGTGAATTTGAATATGGTGGATTTAGTTGTCGCTGTGGTGGTAGATATGTTGGTGATGGCGGCGGTTGTTGTCGTGGATATATATTATTATTATATGCATATGAAGATAATGGTAAGCTCATTATTTGGATTTGAAAAAGGAAAGTAAAAATAACAATAACGATAATGAAAAAAAGGGATTTCGGGTTGTCTTTTTTAATGTCAATGTACTTTTTTTCCAAAAAAATATACATGTATTTGTAGGTATGCTTTTGTATTACGAGATATTCTGTGTGTTACATGAGAAATGCAATTTGATGTGTGCCTTTTATTATTTACGCACTACCACTACGTACATGTACGTAATACAAATAGAAGTTCTCCTATCGCTATCGCTATTGACACCAATTAACTTTGCTACATGTAAAAGGTTTCTTTTAAAGTTATGCATTTCATCTAACCAATAATTGTAGGCGTAACGTAATATGCAGAAATCGATTTACATGTACATGTACATGGCTCTTCTTTTAATGTTAATGGTAAAAAAAAACTACACGTACATGTAACTCAGAAATCGACTCCCATCATTAAACTTATCGTTATCATTATCAAAGTTTTAAACGCAATACATGATTTTATAAAGTGAACTCTAAAATGTCGAATACTCATGATTGCAGTAAATGTACCGATTGTCAAAACAACGAGGACTGCTGGGAATGTTTGGATTATCACAGGCGAATTTATGAAGCTGAATAAAAATGTCGATATCTAATAAAAGAATTGAAAGAAAGGGAAGTTCGTTTGAATGAATCCCTTTTGAAAGATTTACCAATGTTGAATATCTTGCAATGGAAGTTTTGGATCAATTTATAAAGCGTGGCTGCACTATTACGGTATGTATTTATTTAATATTATCGTTAATCTAATACAATTCACTAAAAGGGATTCGTGCGTTGTGACTTTCACCCCGGAATATATGGGCTGAGTGCAATAGAAACGATTTAAATTGTATTAGAATTTATAATACAATTTACACTGTTTTTATTGCACTTGGCCCATATTAATAATGAGTGTATTTATAGTCAATTGGGACTTGCCGGCCTGCAGATATATAAAAATCTAATCGATAAATTTACGGAGTTCTTCCTTATATTGATTCAGAGGTGCTAAATGGAAAATCATACACTCAAGCTGCAGATGTTTATAGCCTTTGGATGGTTATGTACGAGATCGTAACAGATGAACGACCATTTGGTGAGCGAAGCCATGGTACAGATCTCGTATTAGACATTACATGTATTAAAGGAGTACGACCTGTAATACCAAATAATGTTCTCGGATGGTGCAAATTTATTATTGAAAAATGTTGGAATCCTTTACAGAAAACAGACTAACTTTTGTGAATTCCTCTACTCTATCTACTATCCAGAAGACAAACTGAATACTTTGCATGTTCAGTATTACAATTCTTTACAGAATCCTAAAACACATGAAATCAAAGGGTGTTTTAAATTAGAAAGGCAGAAAATAAATGAACTTGATAAGGAGAAACGGCAAGAAAGTATTCCTACAATAGAAACAGAAAACAACAAATCCACTCAAATGCGATTTACACCAGTCGAATCTTTACTGTAAAATTATATTTATTCATTAATTTCATTAATTCATTAATTGTTTCAATTCATTACTATTTTTCTTTAGTGACACAAAACAGATTTCGATTTTAGTATACCACATGAAATCCAAGAGAGTGAAATATATCGAGTTTCCTACAAGAATACTGCTCTTTTTTAGAAGAAAATGGTAACTACAATACTACTAATTCATATAAAAGTTTAGGGATGGTTATCATGAAATTGTAATTACAATTGCACAACAACTAAAAATGATTTTATTCTCTTTTTTTTCTATATTTGCGTTTCTTTCTAAAATTATCTGTCGTCCAGACAAATTTCGTTATAAATAATAAAAGGCTTCTTTCACATCAAATGATGTGTACATAACAATATACATGTATTCTAGAATTTCGAATACTCACTTTTTAATATGTTTAATTGTTTTTTAATTGGAATCGTACATATAAAATTTTATGTCCAATTTTTAAAATAATTAATAAATATGATACTATGAAAAGTCGATTTTTTTACTGATACAATGACCTTTCATGTAATAATCAAACTTGTTTGCCATATTAAATTCTACAATATAGTGAAATTTGGAACACTTCAAACACAAATGATTATTTTACAAGCTTTAAAAGATCATTTTCCAAAACTTTCATTCGTGAACTTTTGAATGAGAGATTAGCCACAATGTCAAATTTTAACACAATAAATGTCAATAATTAAAAATGTTCACCAGGCTCCATTCTATGTATCTGTAATTTTCATAAAGTTTTGAGCATTAATCTATGAGCTATCGCTATTGTGTAAAATGTAAAATTCTTTTTAAGATGAATTTACAAATACAGAACAAATGCAAGTTAAATTTATTATTATTATGATCATTTCCATTGGCTAAAAATGCGCAACAACTTCTAAATATAGTAATCAATTATTAATTTTGGCCCATGAAAATTAAAATGAAGATGGGGGGTTCATAGTTGTAAATTCACCTCATCATAAGTTCGAAATATTTTTACATTTTTGCACAATAGATCATGGATTAATGCTCAACACTTTGTGAAAATTTGAAGATACGTAGAATGGAGCCTGGTGAACATTTTTAATTATTGACATTGTGGCTAATCTCTCATTCAAAAGTTCACGAATGAAAGTTTTGGAAAATGATCTTTTAAAGCTTGTAAAATAATCATTTGTGTTTGAAGTGTTCCAAATTTCACTATATTGTAGAATTTAATATGACGAACAAGTTTGATTATTACATAAAAGGTCATCGTATTAGTAAACACCAACTTTTTATAGTATCATATTTATCGTTATTCATTAACGATCGTCCTAATTTTTTACCTTACCGTTGCGGTATCGCCCAATTTATATACATGTAGTAAAAAATTTTTGTTGATTTTATAATTAAAACAGTTATTTCATTTTAAAACTTCCATGATTCTTGTTCATTTTTTCAAAATACAATTGATTAATTAGCTTTAAAATGGTATAAAATTTAGAAATAATTATTAATAGATATATGGGGGTGAGTCAATAGAAACCAAGCAAATTATTTTTTTTTCAAAAATGAGTTTTTTTATTAAAACAATAGAAATAAACATACTGATGATGTTTAATTAAGATATAGCATTTCAAAGCTTTTTTTACATATTAATCATATAAAATGAGGGGATAAAATACTGATTATCGCAAAATTAAGATTTTATAATTCGCTTGGTTTCTATTGACTCCCCCATATGTCGTGCCCAAACTCATAATTGTCCCAAACCCAAATCGGCCCAAATTAGAATAGGGATATGACCAGAGTTAGGGTTAGTCTGGAGGATAATATATATTTGGTTTATATTTTGATTTGGAATATATTCCAGTTGTCAATTTGGGGAGATTGTGATTTGGGGTACAACATATATAACTTGAAATTTTCAATTTTCATATATAAAGCGTGGGAAAAATTTTATATAAAGCGTGAAAATTTTTTTTACTTTCCAATCGAAATAATCCTTGCATTTTAAGTTGCCACAAGTCTTGTATGATTTTTTCAAAAATACAATCAATTAGCTCTAAAATGATATAAAATTTAGAAGTAATTATTATAAAAAATTTAGATATATACGTACATAGCTTGAAAAGTTCCATTTATATGTTTTATTATATAATTTTGGACCGGACGATACTTTTTGGGGGTACTGTACATGTAATAAATAAATTTGCTATTGTTAACGTGCAAAAGAATAGCTGAATACGTTAAGTGTGAATGTGGCGCAATTTAGAATAAACGATTGTTGGTATACGTACATGTATGATTTTTGGATCCCTCATTTTCTATGCATTTTGTAATAATGCCCAATTAGAGTCCCAAATTTAGAAAAATAATTGTTGGCTTGAATATCGATATTGAGTTTCCATATTGTAATTAGAACGTTCCCATTATCGTTACGTAGTCCCAATTTTAGAAAAATGATTGTTGGTTTGAATGAATCTCGACATCGATATTGAGTTTCCAAAAAGACGCAGACATACTCACTATACATGATCATTATTATGTTGGTTTCCGTGACCATGGGTCACGCAAATTTTTATTATTTTCGAAACATATCGATATGACATGCTAAAAATACATTATAAAAAAGGAGAACGAAAATAAAAGGATCCACAGTATATTAGACTTTTTATACAAAATATAAAATGTCATCAAAATTGCGTGAACAACTTTCCAAGTACATATATCGGATTTAGTAACAGAAGAAGACCACAATCTATTTCGAAAATTAATCGCAGAACAGGAGTATCATAATGTATGAATATCAATACCTTCTCCATTATGGTTATAATCCAAAAGGAGGGAAACATATTCATATTGCTTGGCTAGTATGCGATTGTGAAAAAGTTTTGGAGCTAATACCTTCATCCCATGAAATTGCTAATAAGTTTAGCTCATCTCAAACAATGATTTAATGGTATTCTGCTAGCACCAGTGATAAGCATTTAAGGTCATTATGAGTATACTCGGCGTGCGTGCCAGAAGAATCCTACATGCCTTAAAAAATTAAAATCTGTTTGATGAGAGTTTTTACGTGATGGTCACCTAAAAATATGTATATTAATTTTTATTAATTTCGATACCATACGTAGTTTGCTAGCTAGCAGTGTTTTGCTTCGCAAATAATGTTGCTTTGTCAGATTTTATTAATTTTCGCTTTTTTATGCAATGCGAGTAAAAGGAGCCAACACCAAAACTCATTCCGCTTTTATACAAGAAAATCTGCAGATGCCATACCGAATTATATCTTAGTAGTAAGCTCCGAAAATTTCTAGAGAAAATAAACGTAAAGGCATAGTTGTCAGAATTCCCTATGTTCGCTCCCAAAGGAAGCTCATTAATACGCATTTATTGTCATATCAATCACTGGTCAAAAAGTGGTTTCGCCTTGGGTAAAACCAGGCTAAATAATACTAAAAAATTACAAAATTACAATTTTGCCCTTTTCAAAAAAGTTGCATTTCTATACGTACTAAATTTTAGACTAACTGTGTTAACCAATCGGAGAACAATAAATTCACGTGAAAAATCTTTATTAACCAACCATCTTTAGATCGCCGATCAAAATTTTTTCGTGCCGAAAAAATAAAATGCTCAGCGTGTAATTTTGGGTATAATCTTGACCTAAGCGTATACCTATCGATCGTGTAAAGGCTACTTATCGACTTCAGATTGCAGTGTAACAATAACAAACCTAACCGTAAGAAATGTAACCTAATAATTCACCGTGGTTTTGACATGATAAACCTGACATCTCAATACAAAAATATGGGTTAATTTTTCAAAAAATTGTCATTTCATACCTATTTTTTACCTGTACTTTAGACCACAGGTGAAACCTACCCTGTTCGACCAGTGAATCAGCCTAGCAATAATGCTATCTGTGTAATGTAATACAAACTCTAGCTTCATCCCGCAAATTTTACCATTTCCCCATATGACATGCTTTTAAATTAGCAACGATAACCACCCCCAAACCATGATCGAAACTCAACACTGCCCGGATTAGATCCCAATCAACTATCGATAGTCAAATTTCGATTTTTGAATGCGATCAACACGTATATCGATATTGCATAAATGTGTATTACATCATGTACTTGATGTATTGCATCAATATCCTCAATTTTGTTTTTTGAAAGCTTCAAGATTTTTTTGCATCATTTTGAATTAAATTTTATTTGCAAGTTTGGATGATTTATTTTCTATACAGTGCACGACATTTAAACACTGGAATAAAATCTAAAAAGTAACGGAGCATCAAACAGAAAAAGGCCACTATTTTGAAGCTAAGCCTCTTTTTTAAAATATAATTACATGTATTTGTTCGGGACTTGTGATCAACCAATCAAATGGCGAGACACGTAAATACAATTTTATTGGCGAGTTCACGGCTTTTTGATTGGCTATTTCGTTGTACACGTGTTAAAGTATGCCTCGGCGAATCAAATCCTTTCATATGATGCTGCAGTAAGTCACATGATTTTATCGAAAAACTGGTTAAAATATTGATTTTATAAAGATAAATTTGTATAGCAAATCACGTGATTTCAGTCTTTTAGTGGCGTGAACTATACGTAATCTACATGTATATATGAACATATGCATCTATGTCTTTCACTTAATAAAATCACATGATCCCGAAAATCAAGTGAAACCTATAATATCACTAACGCTAACAGATGGTGAATGTGAACCATCATTAAAAGAATGAAAATGTTATGTAGTAGTACAAAAATCCGTAAATAGATAACGTTAAAGCAAACCTGTAATGAAAGTTTTTTTTAAAATATTCTATCACAGTAAATCAATTAAAACGTTAGAATTACACTTTTCATAAAAATAATGACACATGAGACTCAAAGTCTCATAAATGTGCATATTCCAATAATATTGAAAAGAAGGATGTTTATCTCTTTTTGAAACATCTATTCCTGATATCGATATCGATATCGGCAAAATCTAATAAAGATCTCGATATAGACTTGAATTCATAGCTTGAATTAAAAAAAGCAAATAGGGGTTCGAAATTGTATTTAGCGTCTCAGCAACTGTTTGAAAGCGACACAATATGCTATGCTAATCAATAGTGATAGCGATCTCGTCAATCTCTTCAAATTCTAAATATATACATGTAACTATTTATAGATAGTGATTCTCCAAAAAATATGGTGATCGAAACCTATCGTATCACAACAAAAATCTAGCCATTCATCCATATAAGTTTCTATTAAAAGCCTAGTGTAGTTTAATTATGCATATCAATATTAATGCACCAAACAAAATACGTACATTGTTCTCGGAATATATCGCTATATAATCGGATTCCTTTAAATACGACGAATTTTCAAATTCATCATCTTCTTTTCAGAAATTAATCAATAACGACATATATCATATCGATATATAACAAACTTTATTTTGTAACATTAATAACTTTTTCAAGCTGAACTTTCAAAATTTATCGAGAAACAAATAAAAAAGGATTGTAAATATGAAAAAGAGTGTCATTGTTGTGTACGTATCTTTAATATTATTTGATATCAGTTTTTTGCTATGAAATTAACGACAATATTTAATACGATAAAATAGCGGAGCAGGACTATCAGGTCTTCGTGCGGCCCAACTATTCCATAAAGCTGGATACAAGGTTACTGTGCTGGAAGCAGATAATCATATCGGAGGACGAGTAATGGGTTTTGAATTAAATAACGGACAAAAGGTCGATGTTGGAGGTTTGTTTTTTCATTATCATGAATTCTTTGTCGCACGTTTATTTACTTCATGAATCGAAATATTTAACATTATTTTAATGATTAAGGTCAATGGATCGGCAAAACACAAAAACCAATACTCGAGTTATTAAACGAGCTCGGCGTCGAGACCTATGAACAATACAATAAAGGTCAAAAAGTACATTGGCGAAAGAAATGTTCCATAAAGACGTTCAGTAGCTCGTCGTCAATACCGCCATTGAATCTCTTTGGTATTTTAATTTTTAATTTTTATGCTCGTTTCATTGTCAAATTTGACTTTTTATTTATAATTTATTATATTCGGTTCCATACATAACGATAACAGCTTTACTTGATCTACATTTTAATGTTATTTCGACTTTGGATCGATTGATGAAAGATGTTAATTTGGATTATCCGAAAAAATCAAGTACGAAATACAATTCTTTGTTATTTGCAAACAGACGAAAAGATTAATTTTCTACACTACATTATTATGTGACGAAAAAGAAAACGCCGAATACTGGGATTCTATAACTGTTGAGTCATGGGCAAAATCAAAAATTAAAACCACAAGCGCAAAAGAACTATTGGACGTAGCAATACGCATGATATTCGGAGCAGAAGCTAAAGAAATATCAATGTTATTTTTCTTGATGACTTTAAGATCCGGAGGCGGTAAGAAGCGATATGATTCTTCTCATATTCGATATTCGAAATTGATTATCTTTCCTTAATTCTAGGAATCTTAAACTTATCTGAAACAAGGAATGGTGCACAAGAATTCAAAATCAAAGGGGGCGCATACAATCTAGCATACCTCTTAAAGGAAAAACTTCCGGAAAATTCCGTGCTTCTCGAACACCAAGTTACTGGCATTCAGCACGACGAACACCAAGTTACAGTATTTAGTGGTGATAAATCGTTCACAGGAGATTATTTAGTGCTTGCTATTCCGCCGCCGGCACAGTATAAAATTGTAATTGAACCATCACTTGGGCTGCCGCGTAATAAAGTAAATTTTTAATTATAAACTATTTTAATTTTCGTTGTTAATGAGAAATTAAAATTTCATTATACGTAGTTATGTGAAAAGATATTCATGGCTGCTATGATAAAAATATATATAGTCTATGAAAAAGCTTGGTGGCGTGAAAAAGGATTTGCTGGCGAGGCAATTCCATTTGATAATTCAGCAGTCAAAGATGATGATGGATTGTCGCCTTTTTCAATGGTAAGTAAATAAAATTCAATTTTTGCATTTTTTTATAAAAGAAATCGAATTAATTTGACTGTTAATCTATAGGTGTTCGATGGATGTGATGACAATTTATCAGTTACTGCCTTGACAGTATTTATCGCTGGGAAACATGCAATTGCGCACACAAAGGTGCGATACTATCTTAGTTTATATTTGTTCACAAACACTTTTTCTTCCAATTAAGAAAATTTCATTAATACGCAGTTACCGCAAGAAGAAACAAAGACCCGAATTCTCAATCTTCTCTCGAAATTATTTTCTTCAGAAGATGCAAAGCAGCCAATCGAGTACATTGAAAAGAATTGGTTGTTGGAAGAATGGATTGGCGGTGCACCTGTTGGGATTTGTGTACGTGATTCTAATTTTTCCTGTTATTTTTTCTCCGAAATAACATGCGTTTTATTGATTGTATGATATGTTTTTTCTTTCTGGAATTGATCATAAAATCAATAGCCACCGGGATGTTTAAGCTATTACGGAGATGCACTTCGACAACCAGTTGGAAGAATATATTTCGCAGGTATGAACATTGTTTTTTTTTATTAATTATTTCAGATGTATAATCGCGTCGAATATTTTTGTGTAACAGGAACTGAAACAGCACACGCGGATGTGGGATACATGTCTGGTGCGATACAAGCTGGCGAACGGGTTGTGGCCGATGTGTTAAAGTATGAAGGTGTCGAAATTTAGAAATAATAGCGGAGGTAATAATATATAAACATATGTTTTATTGGTCCTCTTGTATAGTGATAGTCGAGAGTATTATGGTAGTAATACTTTTGAATTTCCATCATGTGTATACTCACAGTTGCACTCCCTTATAATCACATCACTGGGAATCAAAATTTGGGTGATTATATAGAAATGTGACTTTATAAGTGATTACAATGTAAGATATATTATTCTTTATTTTGTTACAATATATCGATATTAAAGATTTTTCACTCAAATTGTTGATGGAGAATCCAAGTTAGTACGAACCATTATGAGGATGTCGCCATTGTTCAGTTGGAAATGATAAATTAATAGTATTGGATTTTGTTGTAAATTCGATAGTTGTTGAATTCAACCAAAAAAAGTTCATTGTTATTGATATCATGTTATACAAGTGGTTATTGTTAATAACACCAAAATTTTTCTGTTTTTCGGATTTTCTAATCAAAAGACGGTAATTAACTTGAAACTTTTACATATTCGAACTCTATCATTCAGCTTGTGGTATTTACAAATTTTATTTTCGGAAAAAAAGTTGCAAATGCGTTAGTACAGTCCATCAAACACAACTACAAATGGATACTCCGGACATGAGTAAATAAGAATGCTTTGCAAACGTCCGGTAAGTCAAAGGGTTCTGTAAATCCTATCGAATACACGAATTAAGTTATCGTATTAATACAAAATTATTGAATTATAACTATTCAAAAAGAAAGTAATGATTATGAAACTTTCTAATTTTGACCACATATATAAAGTGAGTAGATTATTGAGAAGTCTTCTTACGATAACTTCTAGTAGAAAAACGCCTTGAGCCAATATATTAGAGGTGATTTTTAATGAAATTATCAAATAAAGAAGGAACAATCATTCGAAAATTTACTTATTAAATTAACATGATATCATAATCGATTTCTAATTAAATTGCATGATTTTTATCATTACAATATCGCTGATTTATGAGATATTGCAATTAAAATATTGATTCGAATGATTCCATAATTTTTAAAGCCACGTAACGGTAATGATAAATCTCGTGTGTGTAAAAAATGTTATCGTTATAAAAGTCTGTTTATCTACTTTACATACTCGATTGCATGTATGTCTAAACACATAAAAGCGACATTTTACATATCTTTACAGACATATCAGACTTTTTCGCATATTTATCGTTACATATATCGGAATTTACAGGTGTATTTTTCTTATGGATAATGCTTTATAAATTGATCCAAAATCTCCTCAACATTGGTGAATCATCATACTCCTGGCCTGGTAAGAAAAGAAATTGTTTTTTTATTATTAAATATCTGCTTATCCGATAATACACTCGTGTAGCATTGGAATGGTGTGGCATGGAACTTAAAGAGTGTCGATATCGATATCATTCAATGCTAACTAATGAAAATAACAAGAACTGCCTGCCTGCAATTTTAGAAGAAGGAAGAGTAATTTGTAAAGTAAAATGATTATTCTGTAATATAATGATATTCTGTAGTATAAAGATAATAATATATAAAAGAGTGACGTTGAGTTGCATTTATGGCTATATCAAGGTCCTTCTGTCTTCATGCCAAAAAAACGAAATGTCTTTATATACATTGATACTTTGATCCCTCTATAATAAATTGTTCCAACATTTCTTCATATTCGTAATCATCAACACCCAACACCACTTTCAATGCGACTTATAATGATTTTAATGATTCTGCAAGCAATTCAAGTGTCTACAAAAATCATAATCAAATGCACTCAATAATGAGTATCATAATCGAACCAAAGGAAATATATCGATAATGCTTTAGATTACCTTCATTCCCTGTGATGTTTGCTGCCAGTCTCCAAGCGGAGTTATCGTTTCAAGGCTTTTTATTGATACGAATTTATTTGTGTTTGCCATAAGCTTTGGGATCTGTAAGTACATTTTGGGATTCATTCCGTTTGAAATCAAATGTTGCTGTACTATAATATAAATATATGTGTTAAGTATTGTTATGTCATGACGTTTGAATTATCAAACACTATACACCAGCATTATTTTTAGTGATTGGGCCAGGATTATTAATCATATGATTGCTTTCCTGTTAAATCCAAAAATCAGTAATTTACTTTGTGAAATGTGTGTCGGTTTTTAAGAATGTTATTTACCATCAATTCTATCCATCCACCTGCTTTTGTAACTCTTATGAAATCATCTATCAATCGTATCCATTGGTTTTGTGTAAAAACTTGCCCTAAAAATCTCTGATTTACGAAGTTAAATGTTTCACTGTTAAAAACAATATACTCGAGATTGATTTTTAGTATTAAATTTTCGATATTTAAATTATATAATAAAATTTACTCTGGAAATGGTATGCCGTTCAATAGACTGAATTAAAGAAACCTAGCATTTGAGGGTCGCACATTAATTGGGGATATTTCAGTCATATCAATACCCAATTGTTATTATTAAATTATTAGTTTTATATTATATTATACTAAACAAATTGCTATTATTAGATTTATTGATTTTGATTAAGTATTTTGATTTTTATTATTTTGATTTTGTTATTTTTGAATTTGATACATGTATTTTGGTATTCTTCATTTTTGAAAAGAACAAAGTAAAAAAGTTTTTGTTATTATTATTATTATATTATCTTAGCTCTAAAAAGCTTAATACAAGTATAGAGAATTAGTATTTCAAAACTTTCTTTATTCTTTATTTTCTTATTATTTTATACTTTTACTCTTCTCTTTCAATTTTTATTTCCTATATATAACTCTTTTACCTTATTATTATATTTTTGAATTATTAGAATTTTTCATAAAAATTGATATATAACTTAAATATCTCTCTTTTTTTTAATATTTTGTTTATTATTTAATCACCTCTTCCAATTTAGTTCCAAGTTTATAAGCTAATTTAATAATTAATAAACAAATTTATAACAATAACTATAAATTATAATTATAATAAAGTTATAATTAGAAATAAGTACTACAATTTGATATAGTCAAATCTTTCTATAATTATATTTATTTTTCTATATCTATCCTATTTTGTTTTTCTATTTATATATAAATATAGTAAAAAAATTCTCTTTATAGTTATATCTCCTATATAGTCATCAAATTTTGCTTTTCCAAGTGTGATAAGTATAGAGAAATTTGATTATATAAAATAGTTACTATTAATAATAATTATTCAGAGAGTTATATAATATTTATAATCAAATTTAATAAATAAAAATACTTTACTTATTACTATAATAATATATATCAATATTGAATTAAATTTAAACTTGTATAATAATTCAATTTGAGTTCAATTCAAAATTTCAAATCTTTTTTGAATTCAAATCAAAGTTCAGTTCAAATTTAGTTCAAATTTTGTATCAGATTCAAATTTAAATAAAAGTCTGGTTAAGTTCAATTTAATTTCTTGCTAAATATTATTAAATTCAATATTTTTAATAACAAAAATATTAAATAACAAAAAAAGATATGATATAGAATTCTTGATTATGTAATATTTTTAGTTATTTAAAGTTTAATAAGTATTTTGCAAATATAAAAAAAGTTTATAAATTACAATAAAATTAAAAATAAAAGAGACTTGTCTTATTAATATAAGTTCTATTAAAAAAAAGAAAAATCAAAAATTATGAACAAATAATTAATTGTTTTCATTAATAGATATATAATTAATTATCAACATAATAATCAGATATTTTATTGATATATAAGAAAGTTGATAATTCAAAGATTAAAGTTAGTATTAATATATTAGTTCAAGTAAAATTTGTTCTGCAATAAATGTTAATAATAAAGAAGTATTAATATCAAAGAGGTTGATAATAAGAGTGTTGACCATATACAAGTGTTGAAGCAGAAACCATTCTAAAATATATTGATATAAATTATATTCTGTTTTGCACATGATGTAATATAATATCTAGTATATATAAATAACTAATACTAATACATAAGAAATTTCATATTAATATTAAATAACTAATACATATAAATTTCATGTTGATATTAACATGTACACTCTGCTATAAAAAATTAAACTAATCCAGCTAACTTTGCTTGATTAATATATGGCATATTAAGCTTTTCCGCAATTAGCAACACTTCTGATCTGGTTTGAGTATTTCTAATATCAAAATTACCTATGATCGGTGCAACCATCTCATATAATTTAAAATATTCCTTTGCCTTATCAACTTTTTCCGTAATCATATACGCAAAACCCAACAAAGAAGAAAATCGATAAGAATAATGAAAAAGATTATGCTTTTTTGTTAGGCTATGCAATTGCTCAATAATGGTTATAGACTCTGTGAATCTTCCATCATGAAAATATGCTCTAGATAGCGTGCTTTTGGCATGCATTGACGAGAAATCGAGGTCGTGTTTTTAGGTCTGAGGGAATCCAACTTCTTAACCATACTTTCTAATTCTGCAATCACTGGTGAATCAAGCTAAACTCCTGCAAATTGTGAAATGTCAGAGGTGACATCAGAATCATAGCATTCGTGAATCTTTACGCGTAGTTGTTTTATTTTGTTTGATTCAGCTCGCTCCAATTTGCAAAGACAACATTGGCATTTAATGCCAAATTGTTGTACGTTTTTCAAACGGTTCTACCGGATTCGTATAAGCTAAAGTTAATTCTTCTCCTTTTTTAATTGGGCGTTGAGCGCGCACAAACATCAAATCGCCTAAATATAATCTTTGCGCATTCGAGTCATGAATGATTAAAGTACGAAGGTTTTATCCAGATACCAGGTCCAAAATCTCGATCTGTTGTTTCTTGAACAAAAATGCCCCATAGAATTTCTGGCTGAAACGCATTAATAATAGATGGCTTTTTCAATTCTCTCTATATCCACACTCTTCAAAGAATTTTCATCAAGATTCTTGCTGGCAATCGTTTCTGGCCCTGCGTAGAGATCATAGATTTCTTGAGCAAGTTTTGGTTCAGCCTGAAGTTTTTGAGCAATTGATGTAATTAATTAATTCTGTTTGTGTAGCCTTATGCATAATTCTTGTATTGAAATTAAAATTTATGCACTCTGAAGTTTCTTGATTAAATACAATTGAAACCATTAATAGCATTGTTGTCGCTTGGACGCAAATCCAGCAATTTGATTGGTCGGGACAAGCGTCCCGACCAATCAAATTGCTGGATTTGCGTCCAAGCGACAACACTGGTTAAGAGGGTATGTTGTGGAATATCATTATTTGCAACCCAAGCACGACCCTTTTCGCCGACTTGTTTGATCTCGATCGCGTCATTTATATAATCTGCATAATCCAATCTCGGCCCTCCTGGATGAATCCATTCCTTAGCATCAATGCTGCTTTTACGGGTCTCGATTTTCTTTAGGAATTCATTAATAATTTTAATGTAGTTATAATTCCCATGTTTATTTTCAGAATGCAACTCTTGAGCTTGATTTTGATATTCTTCAATCTCTTTTCGAAGTTTTGCATCAAACGAATTTGCGAGTTATTTTTAAGAAGTTGGCGAAAGACGTTTATTGATTCTTCATACCGCTTGAGATGCATCAAAGCTTTACCCTTACGAATTGCAGCTTTTTGGTATTTGTGATCAATCTTTAAAGCTGTTTCCGCATCATCGAACGCTCTTTTGAATTGACTTAAACGCAAATGAGCCTCCGATCTATTAATATAAAGCACCACATTTCGCGAATCCAATTCAATTCCGCGCGAATACTCGTCAACAGCCGATGTAAAACCTTTCTTCCCAAAGTATTCGTTTCCGCGTACACGAAAATCATCAGCCGATGAAACTTTTAATGTTTCAGTCTCTATAGTCTTGGATAACCCAATACTTGTTTTCCATCTTACTTGGGCAAGCAATTTATCGTCCGGTTTTATAATCACGACTTCGTTTGGATTATCAGATCGAAGCATAGTTTGTGCATCTTGGGAGCCAGTTTTATAGTATGGATTTTGAATTGCAAGGATGGTGCCGATTGGGAGAAATCGAGAGGCTTGTTCTACTGACAATCCTTTAGGAGAGATTTTGTTCGCCGGATCTTCAATAACCATGGCAAGCGCTGTAGATTTTGCACATTTCGTGATTACACGGCACAACAAAAACTTGTCAACATGAACTTGTCCGATTTGTAGTTGAGAGATAGGAATCCGATTTTTGGGAACTAGTTCAACATTTATGGTATTCGCCTTTTTATTTGCAAAAGTGCTGTCCGTCGTTTGGAAAGTAAACATCTTTTCATTTCTCATCCTTTCTAAGTAATTTACCCTTCTTGGTTATCTAGCAACTGTTGTCTGGTGCGTCTTCTGGGTTGCATGCCAGCATAAGATTAAAAAGGTTATTATTCATTAATGCTTCTTCGGGATTCATGAAAATGATTTGTTCATGTGTAACTGTTACATGTATTTCTATTCAGTAACACGTAGCGGTACATGTAGTTCTGTTCAAATTTCCGCAAAAACAAAAGTAATACTAATTTATTGACAATATTTATGTTACTGAATGACAAACAATGAACTTTACAGTCAACTGTAACTGTTTCTGGAACCACCCCCAGTTTATCCGGTGGTTCCATTCGAACAAAAATATCCCCATTAGATTCGTATACAAGTGACTCTCGTTATAGTAAAGGCATCCGTACCATTAGTAAAAAATCTTCAAAAATTTATTATACCGAGAGTTTATTAGTAAATTTACTATAACGAGAGTTTACTATAACGAGAGTCACTTGTAGTCGAGACGAATTTAATGATAATATTGTTGTTCGAATGGGATCACTGGATGTCAAGATATCGGGTTCCAAAGTGACAAATTCATTTTGAAATTTCCAGTAATATAATGCAGGACATCTAGTCACATTACCACCAAAAACTGATAATTTTTAAAAAGTAATAACTAATAATACTATATATATTTGTTAAAACTTTTTATAGTTTAATAGCCAATAGATCAAAGAATAAAACTATGAAAAGATATTGAAAAATTCATTTTTTTTACAAAGTTATTTTGATTTATTTTATTAGTAATTTTTCAAATTCAGTACTGTTTTCATTGGTCAACAGAGTAGTATGTGACTACATTAATATAACAAATGTACATAATATTCATTACAAATAATTTTGTCACCTATTGATAATAATTTATTTTTTAATTTTTACTAGCATTAATTATAATTCTGGTCCAAATAGTCGATAAAAAATTTAGTACTATGGCACAGTAAAATATAACTAAATATTTTATATTGTTGTAATATGAATTTTAGCATATCACATGATTTTTTATAGTTAATTTTCAGTAGATAATTGATTTGTAAATCATATCCATATTGATTTTATATTATCTATATTTATTTCATACTATTTTTATAATATTTCATTCTATTTTTATTATATTATCATTTTATTTCATACTATTTCATATTATTTTCATACTATTTCATTCTATTTTCATACTATTTCATTCTATATTTATATTATTTCATTCTATTTCA